GGGAGCGATCTCTGCTGCAGGGGGAAGGAGGGGCTGTCTCTGGCTGTTGGAGCCCGGGGGGAAGTCCGGACATTTAGAAATTCCCCCCGGACGCTATTTTTAGCTCTAAAATCCGGACATGTCCGGGGGAATCCGGACGAATGGTAACCCAAGGTTTGTTTAGCAAACAAAAAACTGCACCTGTTCTGGGAGACTCTTCCCCACCCCCCCGCCAAAAAAAACCCACCCACAATGCACTTCTGCCATTCTTATATTATTGTTCTGCACTGCTCCAGCCTGTCTCTTTCAGGCCTAATCAAATTGTGCACCATTTAAGCCAATGGGACTTTTGCCATTTGACTTCATTGGGAATAAGAATAGGCCTTTAGATTGTTAGACCTTTGGGCCAGAAAGCCAGCTGTGTTTGATGCAGCTCTTCTACTGCCCAGCACCTTGTTGGTTTATGGTGCTATATAAACAATGAAAACAATATGAGAACAAGAGATTGCCCTGTTTGTTTGTTCTAATAAAACATTGACTTACTTAGTTTTTCAATGTTGGGCATGACCTTACTCCCTTTCTTCATGTATGATGCACGGAAGCCATCGACAGAGAAGATGATCAAAGGAGGGCGAACAAAACTGAAACAAAGGCTATGTTCACGTATCAAGAGTTGAAAGGAGTATTTCGAAAACTATTTCGTATGCTCATTCGGTTAGAGTAATGAGAGTTTAAAATACTACAACAGTTAGAAGTCTATAAATTTTAGAGTTAGTAGATCAGTATAGTTTAGTAATATTTATATTTCAGTAACACCCAGAAGCCCGAAATCAGGCTCACGATCCTATTGTGCTGGTGCTATAAAGACCCATACAAAGACATGGTCCCTGTCCAGAAGAGCTTACAGTCTAAGAAGGTAAGTTATGTATAAAGGGTTGGATAAGAGGAATACGGTCAAATACATACATTTTTACACACATATAATTGCAATTAAAAACCCCCCACACACACACACACACCCCACAAGCACAAATCTTTTCTGTTTTTGTAAAGAGCAAGGGTCACAGGACGTTTAATGTCCACATACAGCATGAGAGAGACCAGCTGCTCTAACACAGTAAAGAAGAGGAGTACTCATTTTGTTATTCTTTCCTAGAACAAAGAGCCACATTGCTCCCCTTGAGATGCAAACACAGCCAGGATGTATAAGTATCCCAAAGCTCATGCAGAGGCCGGGAGAGCAACTTCTTCAAACGTGGGTGCCCAATATTAGGTATCCTCAGTGAACTCATTCTTAGGTACCTAAAGTCTTAAGCTCCCACTTAAATAAATAGGAGCTGTGGATGCCCGGTATGTCGGTGAAAGAGTCCCCTTATTTAGGTATCTACATCTAAATTTAAACCTTGATTCAGCAAGTTACCTAAGCACATGATTAATTTTAAACATGTGAAAAGTCCAGGGGTGCCAGAACAGGGATCCATGGTCCCTTTCACTTTTTACTGGCCAGAAGGAAGAGCGACAGAAGGAGAGGGTAGGGCCTCAGGGAGAAGGTGCAGCATGGGGGCAGGGCCACAGTTCGGGCACAGGTGGCCCCCACACTTTTAGGGACTTTCTGCTGTGCCTGAAACAGTCCCATTGGGCTCAATGAGACTACACAAATGCTTAAAGCTATTCACATGCTTAAATATCTTGCTGAATCATGGTCTAAATCAGTTAAGTTTCAGAATCTAATCATAAGCGTGGGAACTACGGGTGCAGGGGGTGCTGCAGGTTTTACGCAGGGCCCCATGCCCGGGGTCTGCCGGCCCCTTGGCCCCTCTTCAAATCCCCCCTCCCGGAACCACGGCCCTGCTCCTGGCCCCAGCTCGGGGTGGGGGGGTGGGAAGGAGGTAAAAAGTTTGGGGACACCAGCTTTACAGTTTCGCTGGCTTTCAGCACCCCCACTGTAAAAAAAAAAAAAAAAAAAAAAAAAAAA